TTTTTGGCTAACACTTTACGCTGAATTGATAAGGCAACTACGTAATTTCGTTGTTTTATTAACTTTTAATTATTTTTAGTTTTTTTTCACATTTTTTGTTTATTTTTTTTTTCTTCGTTTCGTTAAGTAGAGTTTTTGGCGGTGGAACGACAGCCACCGGCATGACCGAGAAAACATTGCTCACTGGTCATACATACGTACATACTCTTATATCAGTACACTTGCATATGAATGTATGTACACATGTATATTTTGCACGAAGATACCGTTCACCGCTGTTTGCTAATTAATTAAAGTACTTGAGTTTCTTGAGATAGCTTTGCTAATAAATTTCCGTCCCAAGCATAAATATTAATATTTTAACGCACAAATAATCACTATCATAAATTCTTGTCGATCTTTTTCTAAAAGACTTATAAATTTCGATTAGAAAGTACCCTGTATTTAGAAAGCTAATTAAGAAAAAATACTTTTTTCATTTTTCTGACTGGCAAAAGACATAGTCCCTAGATAATAATTACCACTGACTACTTAATTATATTTGTTGTAGAGTATATGCAGTTAGCGTTGATTGTTCTAAGTAGTAAAAATCGGCTAAACATTGATTCAGCGCGTACAAGCGCCAATTCAAAATTCCAGGGCTGTTTTTGACATCTATCAAACTTAACTGTCAAACCAAAGTCAGGAATTCAGGAATGTGCATCTTCGTCTTGCTCAAATACCGCTACTTGAAGTCAAAGTGTTGACGAAGACCCGAATGTGTCCATTTCTCGAGTCAAGAGCTGATACTCTCATATGGCACATTATGAGGTATTTGGTCCTTTCACATACATCCACATGGTCCAGTTCACACTACAACTGAAGCTACCTGTCCATTCACCCCGCCGTACAAACGTGGAGCGGTGGACAATAATTTTTCAAACGAAATTTTCTTCAACGACGAGGCACATGTCTCGAAGAAAGCGGGGAGAGAGGCCTTTACAACCAAAAAAAACTTTCAGGCTGGTGCGTTTTTTGGTCCGTAGGTGTGACTGGATCTTACTTCTTTGAAAGCAACAACGGTAGTCGAAAATTATCTCAAACGAAAAAAATTTGCAAAAAATGCATAAGGCGGACAATTGAAACTGAATAATAACATGAAATTTCATGAAAAAAATCATTTTTAATGCATTTTATTTACGTTTATTTTCGAAACCATGAATTGTATAACCCTATGTATTCACATTCACAAAGCATCTAGAGGATTATTGATTGCTTGTACTTAAGTCTGTATAGAAACTGGGAATAAATGCTTATTCCAGGTCTTTGATAAGATAGAATGTTTCACAGTCGTTTATGCGTGAAAAAACGAAGGATTTCTAAGAACTTTTTAACGTGGAATATGTGCATAAAAGAAGGGTTTCAATAGTGGCCAGCTGATCAGAAGTGAACATATTTCATGTATGTAATATTGCAAATAAATAGTCACGCATTTTCCATTGTAAGTACATGATAACAAATCAAAATAAGATTAGAGAATCTCACAATCATCACAATAACTTTAATATTAAAACAATTGAAAAAACGAAGCTTGCGAGAAGATGGTGGGGAAATCAAATAAAAAGCGGCAAAAATATGACTGTGAACTGCCTACACGCCTCTTAATTGGATTAAAGTCAACGTACATTAAGCATTTTCAGAGTTGCCGAGGGGAACAAAAGAGAGACAAGAAAAGAAAACAAAAGGCGAAATAAGCGTTAAAAGGCAGAATAAAAGGCTTAGGGCCATGGAGCTACTAATTAAATGGTAAAGAATAAAGAGAAAATGGCAAAAAACACACAATGAATTTGATAAAACTTATTTTGAGTTTAATTAAAACGAATTGAGGCAAATAATTTGTGAAACCTTTTTGTTTTCGCCTCGCTTGTAATTGTTTTAAGCGTTTGTTGTTTTTGTTGCAGGTAGATAATAACACAGCTCCTCAATTGCCAACAATGTGTCAGTGTCATTGCCACTGTCAATTAGATTTTCATGCGAACGTGCCAAATGTCAGTGAAGGCGCCATCATCAAGTCATCGATTGCGTTAGAGGCGAAAGTGACTGAGGACTCATCACCACGCGCCGTGCAACAAAGTAAACAAAGGCATGAATGTGCTTTGGGTGTATGTGCTAATCTCTGTAATTTTTTAAATGGCATCGCTGATTATCACCAATGTCAACGCCCATTCTCAAGACGGAAGTCAGTCGTCAGCAACTCTTTGTGAATTAATTTTATTTTCAGCTCCTTATATTTGCCCTTAAGTACTGCAATAGTGGATGTTTGTAAGGATTACTATAATGAGATACTTGTATATTTACTTATAAAAATACACATACGAAGGAGCTGTCTGAACTGTGAAGATCCCCAAAACAAAGGAAAGGGAATCCGAAAATTTGGCTATAAATCACTTTAATGAAGGCAAACTAGAATGAAGCACATAAGTGGCAGGCCAAAGAAGAATTATATGCTCAAAGTTTTAGAGTGAACTTTATTTCGTTGGCTACAGAAATACATAAAACTCACACATCTCTCGTCGTTTTTAGTCAAGCACGATTCCGCGAATTGGGAATAAGTGCAAGCCGATGGCACACTCCACGCTCGGAAACAATTTCAGCATTCTAAAAATGCATATAAAAATCCGCATGCTTATACGAGTATAGTATACAACAACACTCGCATGTGCTCGAAAATACAGCAGTTCGCATTGGTATTATCATCAAATGCAGCAATTATCGTGTGCGTCTGCACATTGTCGTGTGTGTCAACTTTCGGTTGCTTTGCTGCCGATGATAAATAAAATTCACAAAAAATTGACAAAGGAACTAAAAAGAGCACGTTGAGTTTTGCCGGCAGCGTTTTGATACAACAGCAAGCGATACAGCAGACAATGCTATGCTGGTACTTGAACGCAACAGAGCACATACATACATACATATGCACTTGCAGAAAATAAAAAACACACGAGAATAATCTAAAAAAAAAACATATTTTATAAAAAAAATTTAAAAGATAAAAAAATAAAATATTATAACACAAAATAAGATGAATTAAATTGAAAAGAAATTACATTAAATTAAACTAAATTAAACTAAATATAACAAAATAAAATAAAGTCAAAGTGAATAAAAATAATAAACTAAATAAAAAAGTGAAATGGGTTTTAGTGAGAAACAGTTATTATTTAAGTAAAACCTCATAAACCTAGAGCCCTCCGCATAGTATTTACAAGGCACTCCTGCTAAATCGACTACTGCAGCCATTCGTATGTATATACTAACATATAAATACATATAAATCTGCATAGGAGTATTTAACAATATAAGACAATTCGTCTCCACCTTTCGTAGAGACACGCGAGACCACTACTGCTTGCCAAAGTTTTATTTACACACATACACACAGCTATCTAGTGAAGAATTTCAAATCAAACTTGCAGCCGACAAACCCCATACACACTTTTGACCAAACGGAGATACTTTGAAATCACTTTTGTTGCTCCTGTTGCTCTTTCAAGGCATTAAGGCAACATTGCACCGCTCGTATGTTGTTCCCCATTTTATTGCTTCCCTTTGCTTTTTATTTCGTTCCTTTTTTTCAACATTTCTAATATATTTGGGAATCCGTTTACATTTTCATTTTCATTTTCATTTTACTTTTATTTGTAATTGATTTATTTTTATTGTATTTTATTTCGCTCCGCGCAGGCATGTTGCAGCGTCCAACTAAGAGTTTTTGCTTTCCCATAGCAGTGTCGTGGGGTTTTATACTCGTTTCGTTTGTTATTTTATTCGTGAAGCGTTTTCGTTTTTATTTCGCTTCTCGTTTTATGAAATTTCATTGTTTTCATTTTACTCTTTAGCAAAACCACTGATGAGCGTTGACATTCGTTTATGTGTCTGGATGTGCGCGAATCTGTTTTTAACGAATTTTAAATTCTTCGATATGATGATGCTTCTATTTTCAAGGCTTAATCATCATGCACTTTTAAATTTGGATTTTTTTTGAAAAATGTTTGGCACGTTCTTTTAATATACTAACCTGTGGTTTGTGGGCGTTTTCGCTGATTTATGATCGAAGTGATATGTTTACTTATTTATGAATATCACTGTTTTGCTCGTGGCAAAGTTAAGATTACAAATCCAATTTGTTAATTACTAAAGCTCACACGCTTATGGTTTTGAGTCAATTGTTTTAATAAGCGTAGACGCAAGAAAAAATTTTCAAAGGTTTAAATGGGAAAAATTGAAAAGACATTCGCCTAATCATCTATTTGTCTATTATTCTCAGTGCAGCAGAATCCTTACTTTAAGGCTATCGTTGTTAAACCACCCAAAATAAGATATTATATATGCACTGATATTATTTAATTATTTAAAATATAAAGATTTAGGAAAAGCACTGGGAAAGGGATAAGGTGACACAAGAGCCAAATTTTTCCCGACATTTGTAATATGTAGATCATGGATAAAAAGATTATGGATAAGTAATGGCAAAATTCACTATTTTCTGAGGACCTTTTTTCAGATTTGCTAAAAAAAATGCAGTTTTGGAAATAAATATTCTGACATTACATTGTTAATGAAGCACTAGAAAATACTTTACAAAGCAAGCAATTTCAAAACTTGCCGGAGACATAATACATATTTATTAATAAATTATGAAACAAGCATGTGTAAGTTAATATTAGTTCTATGTATGTACATATGTATATATATCTATTAGTGAATTTTATATGTAAATACATATATATGAATGAAAATAGCTTTTTTATAAATCTCTACTTCACACTTTGAACACTAATTAACAAAGAATAAAACCGAGAATATGCAAAACAAAACTATTAAAATCTTTATTGCAAAAGTATTTGTATTTTTTTCTTTTCTTTTCTTTTTTCATGCAAAGCCTCCCAGTTGCATACTGATATTTTTATATCGCTTAAATAAAAGTTATAAAAAAGCTCGAGTATTAGTTAATTGCTCACCTTTTCGTATAGCAATTCCTAAACCAGCTTTCAGAGCAGCAAAAATGTCACAAAATTTGTATATTTTTTTCGTGAAAGTCGTTATTTCGTAACACTGAATTTTTCTAGCACTAGAATTTTTAATTTCATAAATTTCAAAATTAGCACTCAAACCCAACGGTCGTACACATTCCGTAAATACATTGAAATTTCACAAATACGCTTTTTCGAAAAAAGAAAACTTAGAATTGGTTTATCTTCAACCAGCCAGTTTTCCTTCCGAAAATCCAATTCGATACCGGAAATTTGAAAACAACTAATTTTTAACACTCGTCCGTACAAGCGCAACTCACTTGTTGGCAATTCAATATTCGTCTGACCAATTCACTGTTTCGGCAGCGAAGTCAATTGGACACATTTGTTTATTGCAAATTTCAAGTGTCTCAGCCGTTTAGGCGCTTTCTGCTCCAAACACGTCCAAACTAACCGAATATTAAATAACAACTGAGCAAAATACAGTAATTGCGAAAATTTAAAAATTGTGTGGAGTGCTGCGATGCGGAGCTGTTGAGCAAAGCGCCACAGTGAGAGCAAATATTGGGCTTGCGAGTTTGTGTATACACGTATGTCTTGGCGGTTTTGCTTTGCTTTGCCCTTAACATTGCTTTTGCTGTATCGGCTTTGCTAATTGTATGTTTGTAGGTGTGTGCTACTGTTGGGTAGTAGAGATTCGCTGATTGCCGGTTTATGAGCAAGAACCGAAAGCTTTGCAACCGGCAAAATATTGGCGCTCTCTGATATCGCAGTCAGAGAGAGAGAGAAAGAGATTTCTCAGTGAAAAAATGCCGGTAAACAGTTACATGCAAACTATGTTTGTGTATACATATGTGTGTGTGATGTGCTCCAATAACACATATACACAGACGTGTGGGCGCTCAACATTTGTATGTCTGCTTATATACATATGAATGTTTGTTGACGTTGACTTTAGGTTGCCTAAAAGACTTTTAATGTTGCGAAGTTTTTGGATGGATGCAAAATCCAGCAACATTTATGTGCTCAGTTGACTCAGCATTTACCAGCCGCTTTACTTTACTTTACTTTTAATTTTAGTCATAATTATATTGATCCGAGGTTATGTACTTTGCGGTCTCAATTCCCTTAAGACAATCAGGGGTGTTATAGAAACCGGCACAGAATTGCTTATTTATCTGGATTAAAAATCAATATCTATCTGCTTGAAATGGTGTTATGAAAGCGACTAGATTTTGTTTTTTATTTCGAAAATAAGCAAAACGGATTTTCGAATCAGCTGTAAACACCTGGAGCAAAAAATTAAGCAATTCAATTTAGTTTTTGTCTTGGCCGTAACATATTTGTGATTATTTACTAAAAAATAAATCGACTTCGGCAGTGAAAGCTTTTTTTTTATGAAATCAGCCAGAAAATAAGGGGCGAAAGCTGCCAGAGTCGATGTAAATGCCATTTGCATTCTACTTTTCCATTTGTAGATTCATAAACCTATATCGTCTTAACAAAGAAGCCTTTGTAATAGTCCTGGATGTCACTGAAGACAAGTTAGATACGCTGTCTATCCCACCAAAGCAACACTAAAAGTACATAGACCGTTTTGAGAGATGTTCACGTTATATCGGTAAGTACACTTAGAAAAAAATTGAAGCGAGTCTAAGTGAGAACAGTCATCTGTCAAGTTGCGCCAAGCATTTTTATGCGATTTAGCCTTAAAAATGGCGGAATCGAAGCAGCATATCTTAATCAGCAATATGTGTACTGTCTCTCTCTCTCTCTCTCTCTCTCGCTCTCTAGCAACATACTCAGAGATTGACTTTAGTAAACACCGGATGTGATGCTTTTACATGACAAAAGCATAAAGCGCTGGCGAGACTGTTTTTTCGCAGTTTTTTGCAGTTTTGTGTTTTTTTATTTGTTTTCTTTTGCTGCGCAAAGCTTTTTCATATTTGAATTCTTTATTTAATATTTTCGAGTTACAGACGCCAACGTATCGACATCAACGGGTATGTACTTATTTTTATACTTTTTGTTTATGTACTTATCTTTATCTGTGTGTATTTACTTGTGCATATATGCATACACATACATACATAATTAAATGGGTAAGCATTTAATTCTGCTTATGTATGTCCAGTATCTTACGTTTAGTTCATTCATAGTTTCATATTTGCATGTCATTTTTTTTATTGCGTATATGCATGTATGTACGTGTATGTATGTATTTTTATATTGTGTTTTTGTTTAATGCTGTTGTGCAAAGCGTCAATTGTGGAAAAAGATGAAACATGACAGAATCAGGATACCCACCGGCAGTGGCTCGCTGAGCTCGTTTGCAATTTAGCCGGGTTGGGTGAGATCATCATTTGTCGATCTTCGTCATTGTTGTTTTTCTTTAAATTCTAAAGCTCTTATTGACTTTTTTACCCTCACAACAACTCGTTTGAATAAACATGTGTGTTTAGGTGTGGCTTTGTTTTTCTTTGTCACCGACGAAAATTTATGACAATTCATTAAGGCTGCAATTATTATTTGCTTCGATTTCATTTTATTTTCCTTCAACATAACAGAGACACATACATAGATATGTACATATGAATAAAAATGCAAATGAAAAATGTTTCAATGAAGTAAAATTGAATAGCGAAATGCATTAAATTTATATGAGCTTATAAAATTAATATCTGTTGCTGTGCTAATGGCCAAGGTTGTGGGGAAATAAGCTAATATTTACAGTAATTGCAAACTGTTATTGAAAATACTTAGTTTATGTATTTTTTATTATTGTATTCAAAAAAAGATATACAAGCATACATATATATGTGTAATCGGCGCTTTGTAACCGCTGAAGCGATTTTTCGGCCGAGCACCTCTTCCAATTTGTGGTTTTGCATCTTGATGTTTTTCCAACAAATGGAGGGACCTACTATTTATACTAAGCCGCCTCCGAACGGCTGATCGTTTTTTTTTTATGAGGAGACTTATTTCATGTCAGCAGTACATTCGAAGAAGTCGATTTTCCCTGCCGAGGAGCGACTGCAATCAAAAAATTTAACTTAATTTTTTATTTAAATAAATTTTCTATAACTTTTAGATGTAGGTCGCACGGAGATTCGAATCCGAGCCTTGCGAATGGCAGTACATACATATATGTAATATTTCCAACCTCTAGCAAGTTGCTACAAATCTGAATCAAGTGATAGACGTGCCTGCTTTCCGATTCCGTCTAGTTCTCGCATACTTCGATTATCCACGCATTCGGATTTTATAACGCGTTCCGAGGATAATGCATGATAATTACTTTTATTGTGGCTTACTGTCGTTGGCAAATATTATACCAAAGGGCTACCTTAGAGATAAATGCCGATGAAACGGATATGGTACTTTTCACTAGGAGGTATAAGATCTCGGCATGGAAGGTATCGACTATCAAAGCGGTTGAGCTATGGTCTGGCCTTATGCATTGGTGTTACAAAGCGGTAGTCAAGCAAATCTTGCTTTACGGTGCTCTGGTTTAATGGATGGCTGTCAGCAAAATTTCATAGGACGCCTTTAGAGCGAATACAGCAGCTCACTGTACTTTGAATAACGGGAATGTCGAGAACCTCCCCAACGGCTGCATTAGAATGATTGCCACCAATCAAATGGTGGATGTGGCAGCTGCTGGAAATCGGTTGCATATCCACTGAACTATGGGCCGCAAGGGCATTTTGTGCAAGCCCCAGTGGAGTTTAGTGCTTGAAGTCGCAAACCGCTAATACAATCTTCAAACACCATACCCCTGCCTTCTGACGAGGAATTTCACTAAAGGTCGTAAAAGATCTAAATTAGACAAGCCCACTTTCTCGCTTCTGGTAGGTGTGCTTTTATTTAGAATTCTCATGAGAAGCTTTTCTTCAGCGGACCCCAATCAGTTCAGATATAAAATTATCACACGGTATTTAAGTTCAGCCGCTTCATATATCATTCGGTATCCACACGCCATTCTTCAGCGTAAACCTCTGTAACCAAATCAGCTGATTTTTACTGTGGCAGTGTTTAAGCAAACATTGTAAATATGCACGAACATAACAAACATAACATATATATGTATGTATTTACCAATGTTCCACTCAAGTTTTGTCAAACAAAATCGCCATTCGCACTGTTGACATTGTGAAGCAGCAAAAACAAATGATTTTCAGTCTCTCTTTGCATATGTTGAGAGCATGCTCACGGCACTCACGTGTTGCCAGAGAAATCCTCTCTGCTTAGTGTAATGTGCAGTTTTCGATGTTAACGAAAATGTAAACTCAAAAGCTCTATAACTCTGACTTTGCTTATAATTTAAGCGTATTTCTCTGCACTACTAATATTATTGCCAGCAACAGCAACAACATGTTACACAAACAAACTTGCTGCGCGCCAAAATACTTCTTGGTGACAAGACCAACTAACGAATTCGGCGCAGTTGGATCTGTGAGTGAATGAGGAGAAGAGGAAATATAATCCTTTGACCAAACCAAACAAAGCCTTCGAACAAAAGTCTTGGATTACATCTTTATAGGCAAAAGTTCATACATACATGATTATATATGTATTCCAATTTTTTTCCAACACATGTAGATGAGAACATATATGTATGCATGTATATCGCCGTGAGCATATAGTCCTCTGCCTGTGACCATAATTTAAAAGTGGCGGTTCAACGCGGCCACACATCTGCAAGTCATTATTTTCTATATTTACAAAATTATTAAATTAAATTGTCGAAAAACAAAACAGAAAATTTGGAGTTATTTAATAAATTTCGAATTATTATTATCGTTTCACTATCGTCTTGTTGAAATAAGGAAAATAAAAAATTAAAAAAAAAATTTTTGAGCGCATAAACAATAACTTATGTATAAACAAACACTTGTACGAAACAATGTTGTGCGCAGGAATTCGAAAGAAAAATAAAACAGAACTAAAGTAAGTAATGTCCAAAATACAGTGTTGCATTTAATTATAAACTCTGACCGACTGTATGCTCGAACGGCGTGTAAGAATCGAATTTCATGGCGCTCGAAGATGCTGCGTAAATTGAGTGAAGTAAACTGATTTCCTGCTCGTTGGTATGACTTCAATTGTAAAGTCACTTCATGTCACTTTGAATACTTTGATTTTTTAATAAAACTTAATTGATTTCTTTGTATATAAAAATAATGCCCTTTAGACCCCTTGACTCCTTCAACAACATCTACAAAGCAAAAAGACTCGAGTGAAGTATCAAGGAAAGCCCATGTGCGGAGCCACTTCTCTGCGCAGATAAGCTCGAGACGATTAACTTTTTGGAAAGGAATATTGAACGGCTATTGCTGGCATATGATCCCGATTGTCCGCCACAGCGGTCACTTGCCACTAATCATTATTATTATGTCGTCCCCGCTAAGGCTGGCTGGAGCTGGGAGCATCGTGATTTGGGTGAAGGCCGGACACTCGCAATGG